ACTGCGATTATACTACGAAATTTGTGCCATAATAATGATTAGTTGGTGAAGTTTTTATAGCACGATAATTTAGGAGTAGCTATTGGGGTAACAACACAACAGTCGAAAATGCACAAAGGAAGTGAATAAAAATAGTAATACGGTTGCAATACGCAATCAACAATACCTTTAACCCTTGCTAAGGATATGTTTGGGCTGCCATGTCATGCGAACACTAATCCCAATGCTATTCGCTGTGCTTTCCTATTGGCTCGTAGAGGTGAGTAGCCGCTAAATCAAAGCGTATAAACTTTGATGCAATTGGATTGTGGTTGCCATTTTAATTTTTAATCCTGTCTTTGTGCGTATCGAACATATAATATCGATGGAACCACGAAGACGACTTTTCAAGGCACAAGACACCGATCTGGCCAAGAATGGACAACATAGCGAGTTTCTCCATAATGTCAGCAGCGATCTGCCTTCGACACTTGCCTTTACAAATAGCGAAAATGGAACAGTAGAACTTGCAGTAAATTGGGACTTTGAAGATAAGGAGAATATGCCGGACTTCTATTCTCGTCCACCCAAAAGGAAATTGCCGACAAATGTGTGCTCAGATGCTCAAACCCTCACACGAATTGATTTTGGCCCCATTTCACCCCTTCGAAAGAAATTCAAAAGAATGAACATCAAACCGTCGAAACAGAGTGGACGTATTTCCAAAGGCAATGCATCAATTCGAAGTCAAAAAAGGGTCCGGATGCTTGAGGATATTACCAACACTTCCTATTAACATGTAAAGTATATTTAAACTTGAAGATATTCTAAGAAATTCGATGACTAGTAAATACAATGCATATATGATCGAGTTCATAGCGATTTAATATCTCAATCAAGAAGGCTTTATACTCTTATTCACTTAATTATGCCGAAATATAAGGGTTTGTTTAAAGGATAATTCTATAACGGTTCATGATTTTCTGTTGAAATGGAATGATGTTCGATTTAAATAAGATTAGTAAATTCAGAATAGTACAATGCGAAATACAACATTTAGTGTGCACTATTTGCTATAAAAACTTCACCAACTAATCATTATTATGGCACAAATTTCGTAGTATAATCGCAGT